ACTACAAAAAAAAAAAAAAAAAAAACCAATCAAAATTTAGATTCAATCACATTTTGCGCTATCATCTCCCAGAAAACCCGCCCAAACATCTCATAGTGATGGATAGTATAGTAGAATGCAATTCTGAGATAGCTTCTGATAAGCGTAGGAAACATTGTATTCCGTCAGATGGCTTAATTTGGCAACGGATGAATAAAACGGAAAATATTTTTATCATTCCGAATTATTTCTGGAAAAATTCGACCATTTGATGAGAACCCTTTTATTCGGTAATCGAATAATAACGACAAAATTAACTGACCAAGCATAGCAACAATTTACCATACGGGCATTCTAAATCATTGGACAATGAGAATAGTCTGACAATATGGATGGCGGGTAAATTGGATGACCTGATAATTTGAATGGCCGAATAGATGACCGAACAAATTAAATGACCAAAGAAATGCGGAAGATCGCACTTTTTGGGTAGACCGAAAGTCAAAGGAAAGATTGGCAACACACTACAAACTACCCTGACACATTCTCACAAAATACACCGAACGTAGGAAAATTTCCCAACAGTTGCAAAACAAATGCGATAAACTGCGGCAATTTAAATTGAGGAATCTTTCCAAGAAATATAATTTCACGCATTTCACAAAAATAAAACATTTTGTTGATGATATTCCAAATCAATTCAGTCATAGGAATTTGTAAGTTACACGCAAGAGTGGCAGTTGACAGGTTACACACAAGAGCGACAGTTGACAGGTTACATCCAAGAGCAACAGTTGATAGGTTACACGCAAGAACGGTAGTTGATGGGTTACATTTAAAAGCGGCAATTGACAGGTTACACGCAAGAGTGGCAGTTGACGGGTTACACGGAAGAGCGGCAGTTGACGGGTTACACGGAAGAGCGGCAGTTGACAGGTTACACGAAAAGTTAACATTCCACGAGTTGTAATTTACATTTGCAATTTTATCTTTATCCATTCATTTATTCATTCATTCATTCGTTAATTAATTAATTTAAATGATTCATTAATCCATGCAGATCCTCATTTACCATGTTTACTATGTCTACTAATAATTCAAATTTTAACCATTTGTATTTCTCTTTTATTTATTCCGAAAGGGATAGTATCATATCCGGTAAACAGTATACGTACTGTACATACATCATTACTATTGCATATTCTTTTTTTTAGACGGAATTTCGGACATTTGAAGATATTCTTAATTTTTTTTCAAAAAATATACGATTAGTAATATAGAATACTGTATCAGAAAACTGTACCATATTAGACATACTTGCTTAGTTTGTCACATTTCGTTTCATATTATAAATGGAAAGTTAGAACATCCTTCCAGTTAAAGGACATTTATCCTTGGAATGTACACGGAAGTTACGTGTAAATACGTTTAAATCCATACACGGATCTTATACGTGAGATATTGTTCAATAGGTTTTCCGAAGTGAAACTAACTTGTACCGATGAATTCATATATAATTTCAAATATTACCATGGTAATTCCAAATAAATTAGTATTTAATTACCAGTAAATTAATATATTTAAAATACTGTTTTTTTTTTTAAAATATCACATTTATTGTATTGGAAATCACACTTACACATGTTTTTAAACCTTAATTAACCCGGAATGTGTACTTTCTAACTTACCGGAAACTATCAATATTTCCGGTTACTGATTGATTTCCTTTAATTCATCATCATTGCTTCTTCCTTTAATTATGCATTTATATAATTGCAAAAAAAAGTCTCACCAAGACAAAAAATAGTTTAGTTCCGTATAATTTCATTAAAATAAAAAATGATATGAGATAGGACAATGTTGGGTGACATGAAGTGACATGACGTGATATGTGTATAAGCTGTAATTGAATAACATAGTTACTTCAATTCTAATTTAAGAGAATGGAAATTGAATTCTTCAAACATTTCTCTTTATTTCAATCTTACGTGACATATATATATGAATGACTTTTTACTTTTTTTTTTAACCGTTAAAACAAAAAATCATTTGAAGTCATTTTTCAAAATTCCTTATCACTACTTCATATTCTTTTCCCATTCTTATCATTCTCTCTTTAATTTTTATTTTATTTTTGTAAGAATTAAATTTTCCTTTTTCCATTTTCGTTCTTCAAATTAATATTTTGAGTTATATATTTCAAATTAAAGAAAGATGCAAAAATATCAATATACATTCAATATTATTGTTGTATTTAGCAAAAAATGACGATGAAAAGAAAGATGTGAAAATGATAGGCTTCTAGGCTGAATAATTTCCTTATAACAAATTATTTTTTTTTTTTTGGCCAAAATGATAAAGAGGATGAATTATTAATGAGTTATGAAGGAATGGTATAAATTGGAAAAGAGTCAATTTCACAAATAAATCAGATCCAATGAATATGAAGAGAAAAATTTTGTTACTAGGCTAACTAGACTTGGGTTTTTTTTTTTTTTTTTTTTTTGGCCTCATAATGGGAAAATCAATGTGACTTCATAGATGCTACTAGGAAGGCATACATACACTATTTAGACTTTATTTTTCTTGGATGACGATTCTTGTCCTTCTAAGCTATTTTTCTAAATGACATATATACGTGTGTGTATGTACATATATATATATATATATATATATGTGTGTGTATGTGTGTGTGCATGTATGTGTATGTGTGTGTGTGTGTATGTGTGTGTGGCATATATGTGTGTGTATGTGTGTGTGCATGTATGTGTATGTGTGTGTGTGTGCTTCGCCATTTATGTGCACAAATGTGTGCCACTAATTATAATCTCTAATGATTACTCCATATGTTAGTTATTATTTTCAGGCCTAAAATGTGTTATATGATTCATTTGGCAATGATGTTTAAGCCTAAGAGAAAAAGTGGCCTAGTCAAAAAGTAATTTATCTTGTTTTTTTGTCCCAATACTTTAGACATATTTGCCCTCATTTTTTTTTTTTAACATACACAATTTATTTTCTTTTCTCATTTCGTTTTCAATCAAGCAATCCCAATCATTGAACTATTAAACCAGTCATATCCATTCCACTCTTTCATTATTCAATTTTAATTTTAAATTAAAATATACATGATAGGATCCATGTAATTCACATTATCGTTACCGTATACCAAAAACATTCCTCATCAATTTTAGAATTATTTTATCTTTCTCGCTTTTTTTTTTTTTTTTTGGGATGAAAAATAAGCATTTGTGATGACAAAATTGAATGAAATTTCGTTTAAGCCTTTGTAAAATTCGTATGGATGAATCAAAATATGCCAAACTGACATAAACAATAATAGTGAACAAATGTACTCATATTAAATAGTTTAAAATTTATAATTGTAATTAAAATTTAAAATGCAACTAATTAAGTATCACATTATTGAATTCATCATTTTCATATCGTATTGTTAAATTCATCACGATTTCCAGAAATTTTAGAATTGTTTGTAATAGGTTTTTTTCATATTTAGCACAATCTTCCAATCAATTTTTATGCTTCTCATAATGGATTTATTTTGAAATTATAAAATTTTTGTATAAATTAATTTTATGAAAATTTTATGATTTTATTTTATTTGTCTTTATTTGGTTACTAAATTAAACCATTTTATTTTTAGTAAGTTTTAGTTAAAATTTGGAAAGATTATTAAATAAATTTCAAGTATGGATAGAAAAAAAAATAAAATAAATAAAAATTTTCGTCAATTTAATAATCAATTTTTCAACAATATACCTATGGACAAATTTAATGTTTATTTTTAAAATTCAAAAATCATACAACAAAATTTTAATTATTACTACTAATAAAATGGAAAGAACAATTTATTGGAAATATTTGAACTAAAATAAAGGATATTTTGTTCATTAATAATTTGTTATGATACATTCATATGAAGTGTATCACAAAAGATTCAAAACATTTTGATCGTTGAAAATTTTCCACAGATTAAAAATTATGTCTGATCAATAAAAATAAAGAAAAAAAGGAAAAAGGAAAAACAAAAATAGAAATTGGAAAGTTAAGCGAAAAATTTTTTTGAAAAAGACTTGAAATTTTTCATATGATTAATATTCGAATTATACATTTACTCCGTGTTTGTTTATTCAAACATTTCAGTCATTTATTCTAAAGTGGCATTTCATAGAGCATAGCATTTTTGAAAATTAAAAGCAAAACAATGTAAGCTTCATTGTTGATTTAAGTTGTTTACATCCAATGTATAAAAGAAATAGAAATAAAAACTTCCAAAATTACATATTCTATTAACACTTCCCTTTTTTTTTTTTTTTTACATAACATGAATTTTTGCTCTTAGCTGTTTACAGTACTTTCGGTACAATATTTCTTTTTGTCTCTCTACCATACTTTTAACTCAAT